GTTATTTTTCATTTCTAGAATTTTTTGATTTATTAAAAAGTTATTATTCTCTTAAATTCTCCATCTTGCTTTTTATTTTCATCATGTTTATTAAGTTTGTGTCAGATAATTTCATTACCTGGATCTCCTCTAAGTCTATTTTTACTGGGTTTTTTTTTTCTACTGGTTTCCAGAAACATTAAGCTTTTCTCTAATTGCTTTAAACAGACTTTTAGAAAGTACATTTTGCATAGATGGTTTTAGTTCACCATTCTACCAGTGCCCTAGTAACTTTTTATTAAATGCAACACATAAACTTTCATTTGAGAAGTCGTTTGGGATTCTGAATAACGTCAACCTCTTCAAGACAGCATTTACTTTTGCTTCTCACAGGGTAAGGAAAGATCATCTTACCCTGACTTGAGAATGAACTGATTTAAATCTGTGCTCAGCTTTGCTTGGCTGGTCTATTTCTAGTTCACCCTCACTCCTATGGAGTAGCCGATCCAAAGTCCTAGTTAAAACCCTATAGGGTTTGCTATGCTCTCCCTCCTTGAGCTGGCTCTGAATTCCAATTTTTGCCCACTAGCCAATGAGACCACCGGGAGCTCTTTTGCCTTCTTGACCTTTCAGCCATCAATTTCTTCTCAATTTCTCAGTCTCTCTGCTGCTGCTTTGGAATTGGCAAATGCCTTAAAGGGAAAAGCAGCCCTGAAAATCATTTCCTCTGTGCACTTCTCTTCTCTCCAACACCTTGGCCACTAAAGTTCTAGTTGCTTTGGTAGACTTTCTACAAAATATATTTTGTTTAGATGTTTTTAGTTCACGATTGCCAGAAATAGACAGCCCTCCCTCAAAATACTTCTAACATGTTTAATATGCTATGCCAGCAGCAGCGGAAATTCGACAATTCCTGTAAAATACTAGATGTCTTAGGTTTACTAAAAAGGGCATTCATAGTTTCCTGGGTCAGATGGCTCCTATTTGGCCAAGCACAATTCTCAGCAGCACAGGAGAGTTGTGAGCTATTAGCAGCAACCACTTATAGCAGCTGCCAGATTGCTGCATTAGTTGAAAAAGAGGTCTAGAAGGGCCTCAATAGCATTGAGTATAACAGACAACCTGATCATTTCACTAGCACAGCTGCTATGGTGTAAATGTGTCCTCCAAAATTCATATGTTGATATTTAATCCCAATGTGATAGTATTAAGAGGTAAGGCCTTCAGGAGGTGATGGATGCTCTTATAAAAAGTGGTATGCGGGAACTGTTCCTCCCTTTTTGTCCTTCTGTCATGTCAGGATACAACATTCAAAGCGTCATCCTGGAGCAGAGACAGAGCCCTTGCTAGATACTGAATCTCCCAGTCCCTTGATCTTGGACCTCCCTGCATCTGGAAATATGATAAATAAATTTCTGTCTTATTTATAAGTTACCCAGTCTCAAGTATTTTTTATAGTAGCACAAACAGACAAAGCAGCTTTTTAGCTAGGTCTTCCTTATTCCTTCGCCTGCCCCATGGCTAACTTCTTTTTACTTTGAGATGGAGTCTTGCTCTGTCACTCAGGCTGGAGTGCAGTGGCATGATCTCGGCTCACTACAACCTCTGTCTCCCTGGTTCAGGCAATTCTCCTGCTTCAGACCCCTAAGTAAGTGGGATTACAGGTGTACACCACCACACCAAGCTAATCTTTTGTATTTTTAGTAGAGATATGGTTTCACCATGTTGGCCAGGCTGGTCTCGGACTCCTGACCTCAAGTGATCTACCCACCTTGGTCTCCCAAAGTGCAAGGATTACAGGAATGAGAAACCGTGCCCGGCCCACTAACTTCTTTTCCTAGCTTCTCAAAAAAAAGGATTGAGTGGGACTGAGAATGGGACCGTGTCCAGAATTTATTCCTTCTAGTAGGTTCCTGGTCTCACTGACTTCAAAAAAGAAGCCGCGAACTTCGCAGTGAGTGTTACAGCTCTTAAAGGTAGCCCGTCCAGAGTTGTTTGTTCCTCTCTGTGGGTTTGTGGTCTTGCTGACTTCAGGAATTAAGCCACAGAGCCTCCCATGAGTGTCACAGCTCATAGAGGTAGTGCAGACCCAAACAGTGAGCAGCAGCAAGATTTATTATGAAGAGTGAAAGAGCAAGATTTATCGTGAAGAGTGAAAGAACAAACCTTCCACAGCCTGGAAGAGGACCCGAGCTGCTTGCAGCCCTGGCTGGGGTGGCTAGCTTTTATTCCCGTATTTGTCCGTGCCCACATCCTGTTGATTGGTCCATTTCACAGAGTGCTGATTGGTCCATTTTACAGAGTGCTGATTGGCCCATTTTACATAGTGCTCATTGGTGCTTTTACAATGCTTTAGCTAGACACAGAGTGCTGATTGGTGCGTTTTTACAGAGTGCTGATTGGTATATTTACAATCCTCTCGCTAGACACAGAGTGCTGATTGGTGCATTTACAATTCTCTAGCTAGACAGAAAAGTTCTCCAAGGCCCCAGTCAACCCAGGAAGTCCAGCTGGCTTCACCTCTCAAGCTTCATTCTTGAAGTCAGCAAGACCAAGAACCCACCGGAAGGAATAAATTCTGGACACAGGACTATGGGAAAAACCCCAACCCAAAACATACACATACAAACACACACACACACACACACACACACGCACACAGCATCTCCAACACCATTCCCATACTATGCACCTCACTTCCTGACCCCAGTAGTAAACGCCATTCATCCTGACTATTGAAGCCATCTTGTACTGACCATTAGGCAGTGGACTTTCAAGATACCTCTAAACTTGTCACCGTGTCCAGTTAGCCCATGAAAAAACTTGCACCTCTGTCTCTTCAAAATCTGGATGTACAGGACGCTCCCACTGTGACCTTCTTTCATTGGTCTACCTTTGGGGCTTCTCCACACAAGCCTCTTGCTTTTAAGATTTTCCAAGCTACAGCCAGAGCACGATTTCTAGGTCCAGACTCTAGAGGATTTAGTTTGACTTCTCCCTAGCCTCTCTGCACTTGGCTCTGCTCCCATGGTGTTGCAAGAACAGATGGGATTCTATAGTTCAGCTAACAGTCAGCCAGGGTGAGATGTCAGGCTTCCCTTCTGCCAAACACTGTACTTTCTCTCAAGTCCTTCTTACATGGCATAGAGTAGGAGGAAGAACTCCCTTGATCTTAACCCAGGAGGAAGGGAGGGGATACAAAATTCTGATTCATTTGACTGCAAAGAATAAAAAAGCTCACTACAATGGCTTGAAAAGAGGTTTGGTAGGTGAAGGACAGACAGACATATTCTAACTCCTTTTTAATTAGTCCCTATTTTAAAAGTGTTTCTATCTTAAACAATAATGGGCAAAGTATTACTATTCTTGTCCTTTATGCTTCCACCAGAACTCAGGAATTTTGTACTTCTATCTAACACAAATTGCCATAAGACGCTATGAATTATTAATTACTTGATTCTGAAACATTATTTTTTTAAAAGCTAAATGTTTAACTTAATAGAATTTTTTCTCTGGAGAGGAAGATCTCCGAGTTTAGAAAGGACATGTAGAATATAGGCTATTACCACACAGTTAGCATTCCCCTCCTACTGACTTACATAGAATAAGCATTAAGGTCTGACTTTTAAGATAATTTCATCTTAGCAGACCACACTGGACAAAGCGTGGTCTTCTACTCTTTCGTGGGCCATGAAATCAGAATATTTTAAGTCACTATCACTATATCTGAACTTCAGGAAGCCATGTACAATGTATGTCCTCTTAAGTAATTCATTGCTAAGCATTTACTGAGTGTTTGACTCTCGGTTCAGTGCTGAGTTACAAAGCCAAATAAGAGATGGGCCACTTCTCTCAAGGAGCTTACAGACTAATAAGGGAAACAGAAAAAAAAATGGATTATTAATATATGGCTGAACAATGATGGAGATATGTACAGGGTGCTATGGGAACCCAAAAGAGAGCAACTGCCCTGTCTTGGGTCGTCAAAAGGTGCTTCCTTAAGCAAGTGATATTTGAGTTATCTTAAAAGACACTCAAGAATCAGAAAATGGTCCTCAGCTTCCTATCTTATGTAACTGAATAGATGTTGGTGGCACCAATGAAAACAGAAAATGTGTGAGCAAGATTAAGAAGGAAAGATCATGAATTTAATCTTGAAATTCATAGGCTTGTGCTATTGGCCCAAAAAAGCAAAGATGGCTGGTAAACATTTGGATATATAAGTTTAAAACTCAGAGGAGGTTTAGGCTAGAAATACAGGTTTAAAGTCATCAACAATTAGTAAGTATTGAGATAATGAGAGTGAATAAAATTACGAAGGGAAAACATACGGTAGTTTTACATCATATGGTTCCTGAGTGTTTTTGAGAATCCGATGAAGAGAATGTGCTCTCCAGAGGAGAGGTCCAGACATGGTGGCTGATGCCTGTAATTCCAGCACTTTGGGAGACCAAGGCAGTAGAATCACTTGAGGTCAGGAGTTCGAGACCAGCCTAGCCAACATGGTGAAACCCTATCGCTACTAAAAATACAAAAATTAGCTGGATGTGGTGGCAGGCGCCTGTAATCCCAGCTACTCGACAGGCTGAGGCATGAGAATTGCTTGAACCTGGGAGGCAGAGGTTGCAGTGAGCAGAGATTGCGCCACTGCACACCAGCTTGGGCAACAGAGGGAGACTCAGTCTCAAAAATAATAATAATAAAATAATAATAGCAAGCCGGGCATGGTGGCTCACACCTGTAATCCCAGCACGCTGGGAGACTGAGGCAGGCAGACCAATTGAGGTCAGGAGTTCAAGAGCAGCCTGGCCAACATGGTGAAACCCTGTCTCTACTAAAAATACACACACAAAAACTAAAATTAGCAGGGCATGGTGGCTGGTCCCTGTAATCCCAGTTACTCAAGAGACTGAGGCAGGAGAATCACTTGAACCTGGGAGATAGAGGTTGCAGTGAGCTGAGATCACGTCACTGCACTCCAGTCTGGGCAACAGAGCAAAACTCTATGTCAAAAGAAAAAAAAAAAAAAATGTACACAGAGAGATCTTTTGCATATACTTACAATGAGTACATAGGTTCCCTAAAGCTCATCCATGTATTCCAGGTTAAGAAAATACAATCTTTAATAAGAAGGGAAATTAATGGATGAGCAAAACTTCTGAGCCACAGTTGAAAGTATTGATGTCTGAGACAGCATATAAGATAAAGTCATCCAAACAAAGGAGACTTTAAAAAGTTGGTTTTTCTAAACTACTTTGCCTTCTCATAACTATTTAACTACATACTACCTGCCTTTGGAACCAGCACAGTCTATAAAATGCTTTGCCACAAATATCCAAAACCAGAGGCAATTTTGAAATATACATGTGAAATGAAGCTGGATCTATTCATATTACAGCCCCAGAGAATATATATCAAGCTAGAAGTAATGAGTTCCAGTTTGTAAGGATTTTTACAGCTCAAAAGAAATTGGCCTTTCTAAAGCTTTCCTTTTCTCTAGGTTGCCAGAGCACTGTGCTTATGCTTCTACTATAAAAGTATTTTCATTCCTTCTTGTTTATAAGTCAGCATTTCCCCTTCGAAATGTTAAGATTCTTGTAGACAAAGACAGATTCTTGTTTATCTTTGGCCATAATGCTATTGCCTCCACTTCCCCAGCCCCCACACACCTAATACAGAGTCTTGCATATACATTTGATAAATATTTGTAAAACTAACCTGAATTGTCTACCCAATCACAGAATCTTTGTACACCAGCAAATAAGAAATCAAAAGCATGGAAGACAATGGAAGCCAGTGGCTCCAGATGCTTCTTTTCAGGTAGGGTCTGATGTATCTCATTTCTGCAGCAATGACCAGAAGTAGTATCATAGTAAATAGTATTAATCAGTCCAGAGTTTGCACACCACACTTCCTGTGCTTATATTACACTATGGAATTAAAGAAAACAGAGGAAAAATCATGAAAGTTCTCAAGAACCAAAAGGATAGAAAGAATTCTATTCTCACACCATATAGAAAAATTATCTCTTAGACAAAAAGGAGATTATCATTTATGCAACACAAAGGACAAAACAGGTGTTAGTACAAGAATAGATCATCTCAGGGGTCATAAACTGAATCTTTGCTCTACATAAATCAACATGAATCAAGAACACACATGCAGGAATTAAACCACAATTTGGCGCTGTTTGCTGTGTAACATTATAAGTAAAACTGGTACTACCTGACATCTTTAAGCATTTCATATGAGCCTGAAGGGAAGCTGTTTTCTGACCTTTGCAGATATACAGTCCCACCTAGTATGAAACAGAACAGAATATGGTTGATGTTTTCAGAAGAATATTTGCTCTAGCCCCTTGCTGATGCCTTCGGTACCTAACTTCAATAAATCTTCACTTGCTGTTTACAAACGTAGCACATTTTGCTCCACAAAAGGCTAAGTGTGTTGCAAATCAGACAAGGCGCTTTCGGTGGGGGGGGGGGGGGGGGGGGGGGTTGTGTTCTTTTGTTTTTTTGTTTTGGTCTGGTTTTATGGCTTGCCCATTTTAAGAAATCTAAAGGGCACTTAAACCCCAATGACTCACAATTCAAAGCATGAAATAAAAAGCAAATGGAGACCAATTTCAAACTAGACTTGACTTAAAGTGAGCCTCTTGAAGTTAAACAGCCTAGGATCAGCTCTAGCAAGAACAGCTGGCAGCCCAAATTATTTGTCTTTCCTATGGGAGTGGAGGGTTTTTCCTTTTTCTGGGTTGTTATGTTACACAGAGGCTGGGGTAGCTTTGGGGAACATAAAGCATCATTTTGGCCGCCAATCTTCCCCCTCACCCTACTGCCAAAAAAGTTCTAAACCAAGAAATCCGGTTGTCCTAGACAGAGAAGGCAGCATAATAAACTCAAGGCCGGAGAGAGTTGCTCTTCGTTAGGCTGGATGTTTTATATTTTTATAGTGAGTGAAGTGCTTGATTCAGAAGATTTTGGAAGAGAATCAGGCAGAGGAGAGGAGAGAAAATGGCAAGACTAGGACAGTGACTGAGAAAGGAGGAAAAATAATAAATAGGTCTTGAACTGTGACTACTTAGCTCTGAAAATGGAAATTCGATAGTTGGGTTTCTTTTTATACATCCAGGACTTAACCTGGAATGTTTTCTCACTCCCCTCCTACAATACTCTGTCACATGACAAATTCATATCCATCATTCAGGCCTCAGCTCATGTATCATTTCTTCTGTAAAGCTTCCATAATGCCATGAAAAGAACTCCCTTGTGTTGTCATCTCACTTAATTAGGCTCTTTCTTAGAGAATTCCTCCCCCACCACTCCGAGAGCACCTTGAGGGCCCTAGATTATACTCATCATTTTCTCCCCAGAACCTGTCATTATAGATGACCCAAAATTTTCTTAATAAATGCCTGTTGAATAAGTCTAAGTAGCTAAGAAGAAAAAAAAAATTAAGTCTCCAGATACTTAAATTAAAAAGACATCTAACAGAGTTGCACTCACGGTATGTCATGAAGACCCAGTCTGAAATTAGGGAAGCACACAAGAACACAGCCATTATGAAATCAGCCTTTGATGTCACGACACCTAAAAGGAGCTGGAATGGGGACAATTCAGAGAATAATTTTGTAAGAAAAATGGAAAACAATAATCTATCCTTTTGGTTCATTTTCCAAAAGGATTTTAGCAATAAACACATTTTTTTCTTGAGAAAAAAAAATGAAAATATTTATTCTAAAATATCCCCATGTGACGTATAATGATATTCTGTGCAGAAATGTTCTACACCCACATCAGTGTTACAGATCACATGGGTAAAGAACTGAGGAATCTTCTCCCACTCAGAAATTGCTCAGTCCTGTTTATGAGCAGCCATTTAATGCTATTCTTAAAAAGACCAATTTAAAATGAATGCAGCATGGACTGCTGCACAGATTACCATGGACACTGTCCAAATGTTGCCTCATAGTATGATAGAACCTAAAGCTTATTGAAAAGGGTCTATTTCTATTCAATAAACCCCTTTTCAAAAGTACATTTAGGAATGTGCTGGGTTACTAGAATTACTCAACGGCTCTATAATTTGAATAACTTTCTCCAGAAGAGTCTCTCAGTTCTCTGCAGGGCATCAAGAGGCCTATGATGATCTACATTATGAACATTCTGAAGACAGACATTCACACACACAGGCACCCCCATGTACACTCACATAATATGCACGTTCACACCCATTATGCACAAACTCACTCATGTTCACATACATAGTCACCCATACATATTCTCTCTCTCTCTCTTTTCTCACACACACACACACACACACACACACACACACACAATTAACAAGCTGGGAGGGAGCTCAGTGAAGAGAGATCCTTTTCAGAATACCTGTTACCTGGTACTCACATGATGAAATGAGGGTACCTAGTAAGCTTCAGCTCAGTCACCAGTTGGATGTTGTGCTCACTATCTAGTAGCAATCAAGTCCTATAAATCGAAGTCTTGTTTGATACTAGCACATACTACCACACACATCCAAATGTCTGCTAAATATTAAGGATAACTGGCAGGCATTATCAAAAATAATCTTGATATTTTTAAATCTCAGAAAAGTATGCTATCATCACAAAATTGGGACTGTTAAAAGCAGCGCTTCGTAGGCCTCGAAGTTTCTCGGTATGGCTTCTCTAACTCCAGGGAGTGAATAAAAACTGTTTTTCCCATGGATTTCACCTTAGCTACACTTGAAACTCCACTGCATCCCCATGGCAAATGAATGAATGACTGGATGAATATGGCAAAACTCTCTAGTTCACATGAACTTTATCCAGGATGAGTCAATATGTGGATGTTTTCCATGACATGTGGTCCTCTCCTTTAGAGAAACCAAGGGGAAATTAGAAGGATGCCCAAGGAAATTCGGCCTTTCCCAAGTGTGTCCATGCTGAGCGATGCATTTATCAGCATCCTTCTCCTCCAGGTGCTTGACTTCATTGTGGAAGCTTCCTTCATTTACAGGAGACTGAAATCATGCACATTACTTTCCATACAAATTATCTTTGTTTCTTCCAACAGTGACATGGGAGAGAAATGACTCAGCTTGTACCTATGAACAAAGAGGGGAGAGCTGAGAAATTGTCCAATGACACTTATCAGAGTAGCAGAAAATATGTAACCTAACTTTTTCATAGCCTAACTTTTTCCTTAGTTGAAATGTTTTGACCAGAAAATCAGATAATTATTTCAGATTTACACCTCATTTGTCTTATGTAAGCATCATTTCACTTATACTAAAGATAAGAGAGTTAACTCAAAGTTTTTGTCTAATCATTTGTACTAAATAAATGAAGTCCTAGACTAGATTTCCAACAAAGTTTGAATGAATAGATGCACAATTGTGTTACATAGAGGTTCTGCATAAGTTTACATGACACTCTTTAGCCAAGTTGAGATTGAGAGAGACTGAATGAATAGAGAAATACCGTATTCAAACTAAGAATAAGATCAGATTTGGAAAAGTGACAATATACATTCTGCATCTATTGTTTGTGTGTGTTACATGTACATATTTTATATATATATATAAAAAAAGATTAAAAGACACATATAAATCTATCTATACAGAGTATCACACCCCAATCATGCCTGCTATATTTTTAGTAGTTGTGGCATCTGCAAAGCTACAACAAAAATTAAAAGAAACAAAAAGACAACAAATAGGTCTTTGAAATCTATGCCAAAGAAGAGCCCTTTTAGCTTGAACTAAGCCACAGTGTTCAATTTGTCTCTGCCCCAGACGAAATAGTTTCCATTTGGAATGCTACATGAAGATGTTTTGCTTTTGTGGAGATAATTGGCTCTAAGCAGTCATAGTAATTAACAGCATCAGGTAGCTCAGGCAGCATTTGGTTGCCCATTGCCTATGTATTTGTGAGCAAATGGGAAGGGGTGCGGGTGATGGGAACAGATGGGGAAGAGATGCAAGTGCTTCATTGGCACCTTGCATGTAGCCTCATGCTGCCTTTCTCCCTCTGGCACCATCATTAGTGCCTCTGGCTTCAGAGCCAGGTCTGAAGAGCCTGTGGGCAAGTGCAGATGCCACCAGCTGTGCTGGCTGCTTTTCTCTATATCCTGCTCTTTGCCCTCTACTCATCTGGCATAAAGAGAGAATTTCTGTGCTGATACCTTCAATCTCTGCACACTAGCTGAGGAATTTTTTAAATAACAACCCAGTAGGGCTGTAGTTAGAGGTTAATTGGGCATAAAGACAAAATGTGAAAAGACCCAGCTGTTCCTCTCAGGGAGGATTCCAAAGAGTTATTATAACTGATGGTTACCTTTCAGTGACTCTCTAGTCTAGTGGCAGTACCAGGAATCAAGGTGGGATCAAAGTCATGGGGAAGGAATGTCAAGATGAGATGCCTGTAAAAAGAAGGAGGGTGAAAGTGCAGAGGAGAAATCATAAAAATTGACAAGTACGGAAAAGGAAATAAATACAAAGAGCCATAATAAAATTCTTTAGATAAACGTAGAGTGAGTGATGTTTATTGAGCAATTACTATCTACCAGACACTATTGTAAGCAATTTGCAGGACACAACATTGTGAGCTTCATATCAGAATTATCCTCATTTTACATATGAGAAAACATGGGCTTTAAAAATGGTTTTAAAAATGGTTGGATGCCACATATCTGTTAAGTACCAGATTATGTTTCAAAGCCAAGAAGTCCCTTCTGAAGGCTTTCCTGGGAATCCGGGAGCCTGGCATTCTGCTCTGGACCAGCTTCTGTGTAGTGGAATAATTCCCAGCGGGTCACTGAATTTCAGCATCTATCTCTATAGATAAGAGCAGCCATTCCAAGTATGGTTGACCACCTCCTGCATTGGAATCACCTGACAAACTTAGTAAAAGCATACATTTCCAGGTCATTTCTAAGTCTAATAAATCAGAATCTTCATGGCAAGGTGCTCAAAACTGCGCTTGCAATTCCTCTGAGAATTTTTAAGTTTGATAAAGTTTAAGGATTGTTCAACCAGATGACCTCAAAGTATCTTTTGAGTCAAAAATTGTAAGGCACTGGTGGTTGCTATGGCACCCAAGGAAACCATTGCATTCAAATTTTGCTTATTTAAAAGAACACTCAAAATAGTAGTTCTCATTCAGCAGTTTTATACAGTATAAAGTGTTTTTACATACAAGAGGTGATTTTGATGGCTTTCCTTTATTTCCAAAATTCAAACCCATCTTCGAAGGGTTTCTAAACATTGAGGAAATGAAACACTTCAGGTTTAAGACTATTCTAAAAATGTCCACAGCCATGGCAGTATATTTGGAATTAGACCACCTGGTACAGTTTTAAAGGAGGCAATACTCTTTTGGATGTATGAGCACTTTTTAAAAAATAAATAAATAAAACTTGATTACCCTGATCACACCTCCCAAACAGTAAATTGTGTTCCATTGAACCATCTGAAAATACTTTTTACTTGCAAAAACAGTGATTTCCTGTAGCTTAACCAAAAATGTGTGCATATGTTTGTGAATGTGTGTCTGTAGGAGCTGGGTGTAGGCCTGTGACAGTAGTATTTAAATATCAACTTGCTTGGTCCTTGTAATGCAATGCTGCCCTTTTAGTGCATTCTGAATAGATGTTAAGTGATGATATTAATGATGAAATTTCCCACTCAACTTCCCAGACTGTGTCCTAAGTCCTTAGATCTTACTAAAAAGGTAAATCTTCACAACCACAGTAGACCAATAAACAATCAAATGAAGAATCTACTAACTTACTTCTTCCCATCCATTCCCAAACATAATCTAATACATGTGCCTCCAGCCCATAAGAGCCATGGCATTTTCCCCTGTTACTCTGCATATGTGAATTTACTGTGTCTTTTGAAAGGCAGTTTATCCTCCAACGGATTTTGTCGGCAGCATATTTCTTCACACTATTCAGGCCATTTTCTTCCAACTAAGTATTCAGTTGTTGTCACTGAAAATATATCAATAGGATAAATAAATCTAAAAGTCAAAAATTAGGCAAAATGACATAGATTTGCATGGATTGAATGCTTCAAGAAAAAATAAAAGCAACTGAGCTCACTCTGCTACATAAAATATTTGTGCCTTTTTCCCCCTTTGCGTCTTCTTCCTTGGTGCCCAACTCCAGGTCAGGTGCCAGTGGGACTATTTGGCAGCAGTGAGCTCCAACTAAAGCCTCTAGTAGCTCTCATTCAGCAGTAAAATTGTTGTCTTCCTCTGATCCTCAGATTATGGAGATGAGGAAATGAATGTACAGCACTAAGATTCCTCACCGAGATAGCTTTTCACTCTTTTCAGTGAGAAAAAGATCAAAAGGAAACTGACTAATTAGCATACCAAAGGAGACAAAAACCCCTAGAGCTTTATCGTTGTTGCAATCCAATAATAAACACCCGAGTACAAAAAAGATTATTTGATAATGACACACAGAATTGAAAGCCTTTGAAACAGCAGCTTCTAGAAAAAAAATATTTTTGGAAGGGAAAATATCCATAATTATACAGAATAATGGCTACACATTGGGGAGCGGCTCTTTAGTCCTGTGAGAGCTGCTTGCAGAACTACTTTGCCTAAGAACAGCAGTGTAGATTGCCTTTATCTGCAAAACTCAAAATGCCTACAAAAGGTTTCAAATCCCTTCCCCAGTAAACATTCTACTCTTTCATATTCCCAAAAATTAAACACTGAATTTGTGTCTTAAAAATAAGCATCCCCTGTTCCCAGACCAACACCCAGCCAAAGGCTTGTGCTCAAAACCACAGAAATTTGCAACTCTTTGAGACTAATTATCCTCTCTACAGCCTTTTCTGGTTTAGAAACTCTGGTACTCTCTGCAAATATGGACTTTTTTCAAGGGAGGAGAACAAAGCAACTGTTTAATTATAAACATGTTACTCTAGGACATGTGCATAGGAATCCCCCAGGCCTATAGAGAAACAGCCTTAAAAGAAATGCAGACCCAATGATATGGTTTTGCTGTGTCCCCACCCAAATATCAACTTGAATTGTATCTCCCAGAATTCCCACGTGTTGTGGGAAGAACCGAAGGGGAGGTAATTGAATCATGAGGATTGGTCTTTCCCATGCTATTCTCGTGATAGTGAATAAGTCTCACAAGATCTGATGGGTTTATCAGGAGTTTCTGCTTTTGCTTCTTCCTCATTTTTCTCTTGCCACTGCCATTTAGGAAGTGCCTTTTTTCTCTCGCCATGATTCTGAGGCCTCCCCAGCCATATGGAAATGTAAGTCCAATTAACCCTCTTTTTGTTCCCAGTTTCAGGTATGTCTTTATCAGCAGTGTGAAAACAATCTAATACAGTATATTGGTGCCAGAATTGTGATGTTGCTGAAAAGATACCCGAAAATGTGGAAATGACTTTGGAACTGGGTAACAGGCAGAGGTTGGAACAGTTTGAAAGGCTCAGAAGAAGATGAGAAAATGTCGGAAAGTTTGGAACATCCTAGAGATTTGTTGAATGGCTTTGACAAACGTGCTAATAGTGATATGAACAATAAGGTCCAGGCTGAGGTGGTCTCAGATGGAGATGAGGAACTTTTTAGGAACTGGAACAAGGGTGACTCTTGTTATGTTTTAGCAAAGGGATTGGTGGCATTTTGCCCCTGCCCTAGAGATTTGTGGGACTTTGAACTTGAGAGTGATGATTTAGGGTATCTGGCAGAAGAAATTTCTAAGTAGCAAAGAATTCAAGAGGTGACTTGGGTGCTGTTAAAGGCATTCAGTTTTATAAGGGAAGCAGAGCATTAAAAACTTGGAAAATTTGCAGCTGACAACGCAATAGAAAAGAAAAACCCATTTTCTGGGGAGAAATTCAAGCTGGCTGCAGAAATTTGCATAAGGAATCTAATGTTAATCCCCAAGACCATGGAGAAAATGTCTCCAGGCCATGTCAGAGAACTTCACGGCAGCCCCACCCATCACAGGTCCAGGGGCCCAGAATGAAAAAGTGGTTTCCCGGGCCAGGCCCAGGGTGCCCATGCTGTGTGCAGCCTAGGGACCTTGGTGCCCTGTGTCCCACCCACTCCAGCCATGGCTGAAAGGGGCCAATGTAGAGCTTGGGCTGTAGCTTCAGCATGACCTGGTTGTGAGACCTGGAGTCAAAGGATATCATTTTGGAGCTTTAAAATTTGACTGCCTCGCTGGATTTTGGACTTGTATGTGGCCTGTAGCCCCTTCGTTTTGGCCAGTTTCTCTCATTTGAAAGGGCTGTATTTACCCAATACCTCTTGCTTTTGATCTTACAGGCTCATAGGTGGAAGGGACTTCCCTTGTCTCAGAGGAGACTTTGGACTATGTATTTTTGGATTAGTGCTGAAATTAGTTAAGACTTTGGGGAACTGTTGGGAAAGCATGATTGGTTTTGAAATGTGAGAACATGAGATTTGGAAGTGCTGACCCTCATCTAAATCAACTCCAGGACCTCACTAGGACAGGAGATGGTGAAACTCTGAATTGACAGGTAGTGGGTGTTCCTAACAGAGAATTTCTACATGGAAGAACAGGGATGGTCCCTCAGTCAAGTTCCAGTTTAAAATGCCTACTGGGGCCAGGCGTGGTGGCTCATGCCTGTAATCACAGCACTTTTGGAGGCTGAGGTGGGTGGATTACTTGAGGTCACGGGTTCAAGACCAGCCTGGCCAACATGGTGCAACCCCATCTCTACTAAAAATACAAAAATTAGCCAGGTATGCTGGCAGGCACCTTTAATCCCAGCTACTCAGGAGGCTGAGGCAGGAGAATTGCTTGAACCCAGAAGGCAGAAGTTACAGTGAGCTGAGATTGTACCACTGCACTCCAGCCTGAGTGACAGAGTGAGACTCTCCCTCCAAACAATTAATTAATTAATTAAAAATAGACAAATAAAGAAAATGCTTACCTGGCCACAGGAAAGGTATCATTTTGCATGGAGATCAGCCAGGTTATTATAATGGACATGCCAGAGATCACAGGCTCTAAGTCCTTTGCATTAAAAAGCTCAGAGGTCCAAGTTATTAGTAATATAATATTCTATCCTGTTTCTAATCAAACGAATCATTGTTAAAGGGTCAAATGGTAATGTATCTCTTTACAAATCTGAATTTGAATGAATAATTCCTCTCCTATTTTATAGATTTTTTTTTAACAATAAGTGAATGAGAAGTATGTCTTTGACTGGACAGCGAGTAGACTACCTTTCTCTCTAGGATCTTTAGTTCCTTTTAGATTGCATAAGATCGCTTAGGATTTTATTTTGTTAGTTTCACACAGAATTTTGTTGTTGTTGTTCCTCTTTATAAATTGTCCATTCGCAATGAAACAAGCCCCAAATCAGAACTTTACTTACCAAACGTGCCTACAGGAGTAAAATAAATGTCATTTACCTACCACTCCAAAATATTAATTAGACTTAGCTATTTGCCAGCTAAGTACTAGAGGAGCCCATGGTGATTAGCTGCACTAATTGGAATTTCAAATGGTGCTGATAACCACACAAAGATAATGGGATTATACCTTTCCTCTCTGAAAAAAGAAGTAGCTTTGTCATAACTTTTTAAATGATGGTTTTAAGCTGTTTCACACCTAACTACCCCTAAAGAAAGGGAACATTTTTAGATTCTATTTTTATTCCTATAAGAAAGAAAAAGAAAATTCTTCCAGGTAGCAGTAAATGTACAAAGGAATGTCCCTCCCTGTCTGGGTTTCAACTTGCTCTCAAAGAAGCACAGAAAAGCAATTTTACTTGCCCACCAACGGGAAATCAAGCTGAGTCAGAAAGTCAGAGAGGTCTGCTCCTCCCTGCAGGAACATATTTTTGTTTTGGTTTATAGAAACTCTCTCAGAAATTATGAACATATTCTTCCCCAGTATGGTCAGAACCATAAATATAATTCATCTTTGGGAAGGCTGGACAGATGTTACTATCTGCATTTTATATTTGAAGATAAACTGTCATTGAAGACTGCGGGCAGTGGCTCCCTCCTGTAATTCAAGCACTTTAGGAGGCCAAGACGGGACCCAGATCGCTTGATCCCAGGAGTTTGAGACCAACCTGGGCAATATAGTTAGACCTTGGTTTTACAAAAAATAAAATTTAAAAAAATTAGCCAGGTGTGGTGGCACATGCGTGTAGTCCCAGCTACTCAGAAGGCTGAGGTGGGAAGATTGCCTTAGCACAGTACATCGAGGCTGTAGTGAGCCGTGATTGTGCCACTGCACTCCAGCCTGGGTAAGAAAGCAAGACCCTGTCTGTCTCAAGACAACAACAAAAAACAAAGAAACTGTCATGGAAGAGATTAAGTGAGCTTTTCCCATTCTTCTCTTCACTTGAGAACATTCCACATTTTAGAAATTTATTTGTTTCCAAACCCAACAGGTCCCACAAGCAGCAAGAGGCAGAGTCTGGCGGCAGCAGCTTCTGGCCACTTCCTTCCTGGGAGCAGGCTCGGGAGCATCCCCCTCAGCCCAGCTGTCTTCCTTGGATCCTGACACCTCACTTAATCCTCACAGACCAAAATCCCAGGCCAAGTGTGGTGGCTCACACCTGTAATCCCAGCACTTTAGGAGGCCCAGGCAGGTGGATCACGAGATCAAGAGATCAAGACCATCCTGGTCAACATGGTGAAACCTAGTCTCTACTAAAAATACAAAAAATTAGCTGGGCATGGTGGTGCACACAATTAGCTGTAGTCCCAGCTGCTGGGGAGCCTGACACATGAGAATCGCTAGAACCCAGGAGGCGGAAGTTGCAGTGAGCAGAGATCCCGCTTCTGCACTCCAACCTGGGTGACAAAGCTAGACTCCGTCTCAAAAACAACAACAAAAAAAATCCCAATGTGGGCAAACAGCTGAAAACCCTGCCAGAGGGTCATACTCCCTGTCTTGTGATCTCCTCTGATGTCCGGACCAGCTGCAGCAGACTACATCATAAACAATTATGAAAGAAAATGGTACCAGGGAAACAAGGAGTGGGGTCAGAAATCTTTTTCTTTGGATCTTAAATACACAGAAGAGATAACATAGATTTATTTCAAGTAAATGTGAAAAGCAAATGCTGGTCACAAAGTTACTTACACTTGCTGACAAAGTCCTGGTGGCCATGAAGTACAGATTTTACTATGTGGCTAATTAGGTTCCTTCAGATCCTTGAGGAGCCATAAGATGTTTTCTTAAGTAAGGGTGTAAAGCCAGACCTACATTGCAAACCTCTCTGGCCTGAAAATAAATTGGAAAAATTTAATTGCACAGCCACTGGTTCTATCCACACTTGAAAGCATGCCTTCTCCAGCACAAGGGCCTGGTCATATGGAGAATCCCAGGAGGAGAGACAGAAGCCACATGGAGTTGCCACAGCAACTTAAGGAGGCCTGAAAGGCCAGTTTACCCCTACATATCTTCTTCATATGCCCAGTCAAAATTTTAGACATTCTTTAGGTTGGCATGTTTCATCTCCAGAAAAAAAAATCTGTCTAAATGTTACCATTTTATCAGAGAAAGTAATGATGACCCAATATCACATTACTGGGGGAAAAAAAAAAATCTTGGTAAAATTTAGTCAAGACCAAGGCCCTGGGGAAATCAAAGAAGAAGGTAGAGATATGTATGTATTTTTGTAAAGAAAAGTAGGAAAACTATGGATAGATTCTGAGGCCCGTTCTGGAAGAAATCAAGCAAAGGACAAAGGCTTCCTAGGAAAAACATAAAAACAGTAGATCTCAGTGACTAGATTTCCAAAAGTGGAGAAATTTTTGCCAACAGGTGAAGTGAGGTAAGCCAAAGACAAGTTTTGTTTACTTTGAAATTTTCCCTTGGATTATCCAATAACCAAAATAGGTTTTCTGGTTAACATATGTTTTAGGATAAATGACAAGTAAGTTTCTTACTAGACAGTAAGTATCATGCAAGAAAAAAATGTATTTACTTCTGCACCCTAAAGCCAAATACTAGGTACCAGCATAAAAGGAAAGGAGGAAGGAAGGAAGGAAGGAAAGAAGGAAGGAAGGAAGGAAGCAAGGAAGGAAGGAAG